GAGATATGACAGCTAATTTAGGGAGGGAACATGCTGATAATTTAACTGCTCAGAGGAAGAGAACTTAGATCCTAGCATCCCTCCGTTGTGCCTGTGCCGACATTTTGTAACAATAAAAGACTTTTAGGAAAATAAATGCCTGGAAGTTCTTTGGAATGTTTCATTAGCCGGAACCACAACATGGGCATTTAGAGATAGCAAACAGCAGTAAATCACTTGTCATGGTTCTAATCCTGCTCCCTTTCAACTGTAAATTATTAATAATAATAACTTGGAATAGCTTACATCATGTAACAATACCTTTAACCCCATCAAACAAAATCTACCTATCCCAGGTCTCTGGGAAAGACTCAATAGGTGTCGCAAGGATGTTTTTTCAAAAGGCAACTGGACTTCGTTTTTCCTTGAAGATGTTTCACTTCTCATCCCAGAAGCTTCTTAAATTCTGATTGCATGGTGGGGAATGGAAGGATTGATATACCTTACAGTCATCTGGTCACTAGCACTTTTTCAGAGAGTTGTTGAGGCCACTTGGAGGCTTATCTGTGCCCTAAGGGTCACTTGAATCATGCAAATAGGTATGAAAATGGGTGTGTCCACACCCATTTGCACTATTCGGATGACCCTGAGGGCACAGATAAACTTCCAAGTGGAAATGGGTGTCTATACCCAAAATAGTGCCAAATGTGTGTTCAGATGACTGCAAGGAATATAAATCCTTTCATTCTCCACCATTCAGACAGAGCTGAAGAAGCTTCTTGGATGAGAAGCAAAATGTCTTCAAGGAAAAACAAAGTCCACGTCTTTTGAAAAAGCACCTTGGGACAATCATGACCTGAATGACTCAGAATCTCCACAGACTCAATGGGTGGATAAAAATGCCAAATCCAGTCTAACTATTTGGCTGACTGTGTGACCAACCAAATAATGAAAATGGCAAAAGAAAGCTAAGATAGTACCAATATAGGTGCCTTAGGTGCAAACCCAAAATATCTGGAGCACCACTTGAACACCATCGGCATTGACAAATTCACCGTCATCCATTGCAAGCTTTACTTGGCACATCCATTGCAAGCTTTACTTGGCACAGCTTATATTTCTGTGACAATCCCTTTGAAGCATCAAATAACACTGCCTTTGCAGATGATACAACAGTAGTGGGCCTTATTCATGAGGGCAATGAGGATGCTTACCGCAGGGAGGTTAAGAATTTGGTGAACTGGTGTAAGGAAAACAGCCTAGTTTTAAATACTGGAAAAACCAAAGATTGGTTTCTGTCAATTTCAGAAAAGGCAGCCACACTTCTCTGAGCATTAATGATTCCACCTGTGGAGATGGTTACCAGCTTCAAATTCCTGAGTGTGCAGTTAACAAGTAGGCTGGCTTGGTCACTCAACAGCGAGACACTGGTGAAGCGGGCACAGCAGCACCTGCATTTTCTGCGTCGAATGAGAAAAGCACATCTTCTTTCCCCTGTCCTTACCACTTTCCACAAGGGACAATTGAGAGCATCCTGTCATACAGCATCACAGTCTGGTTTGGAAACATCACTGCATCAGACAGGAAGCAGTGCAGAGAATGGCAAGGATGGCTGAAAAGATTATTGGCAGTTCCCTCCCTTCCACCCAGCTCATAGCACATAAGTGTTGCTTGAGCAGGGTCCGTAAGGTTGTCCAGAAGCCTGTCTTCTGGAGTGTTGGCTATTCCTGCCAGCTTAGTGTCATCTGCAAATTTGATGAGTTCCCCATTTATCCCCTTGTCCAGATCGTTGATGAAGAGGTTGAAGAGCACTGGGCCCAGAACAGAGCCCTGGGGCATCCCACTATACACTTCCCTCCATGTAGATGTGGTTCCACTGATGACCACACACTGAGTACAGCCGGTCAGCCAGCTACAGATCCATCTGGTGGTGATGCTCCTCTAACCCACATTTTTCTATCTTATCAAGTAGTAGATTGTGATCTACTTTGTCATTTGGCTGACTGTGAAACCAACCATAATAACAATAATACCTATTTACCAATCACTACTTCTAATCTCAATGTGGCTTTAAGTCTTTTTTCCCCTTCATTTGGCAGGGGCAACAACTTACCAGCAAGTCCTTGCTTTCCTTCTCTCTGTTTGACTGATGTGCCAAAATATTTTGTTTTACCTCCTTCACCATCTCCACAAAACTGTCCACATATTCCTGGGGAGAAAATGACAACCAAGATTTAAGTTATCTTTGGAAGTCAACTTACTGGTGTGATTTATCAGTTTGATTATTAGAAAAGGTTATTATTATGGAAAGAAGGAAATTATGTGGTAACTTGAGAGATAAAATATAGATGTGCAATACAGTAGTTGAAACTGCTGTAAAGACCAGAAGCCATTTCTTCATACACTTGTTACTTTTCTTTACTCTTTTTTCAATATTTGTATTGTTTGTTTTTTAAAATCTTTCTTTGATAAAAAAAAAATATATTTAAAAAAGAAACTAGCTTACTGGCTGAGCTCCCATCTTTTGGCCTAAGACAAGCCAGGAGCACACCTTGTATTTTAAGAATTCCTATCAAGTAAAATCCTCTTTAAATTACCAGCTATCTTGGTAGATCAGATCCATTTCATTTCACTCTTTTAGCTGATTCAAATCCAAATATTACTTGTAAGATGGCAAGATTTCTTAGATCAGGCTTACAGTAAAACGAACAGTATCACAAGTGATATAGATGCAGAACTGTAGGTTTAAATCCTTTTTTTTTTTTTTTTTGCATTGGGGGCTACCATTCTGCCTTTTTGACCACAGAGTACTCTGTGATTAATCCTGGTCCTAGTTTTAAACATGCGTTGGAAAGAAAGAAAAACTTCCTTTTGCTTATTCAATCTTACTTCATTATCTCAGCTGTTATGCCCATTATAAAGACCTGCCTTCTCTCTCCACGATCTGGAAAAAAATGGTGATTTTAATACATTATTCATTTCTCATCTATTTCCCAGCAGTGCCTCCTGCTTTGAAAAACACCAACGTCGAGCATTTTCTCCCAGAGAATTCGTCTGAATGCACATCAAGCTTATTATTGGGGAAATAGCCGCCTCATAGCGAAGATCACACGTGTTTTTTAGCCCAATAGTGTCAGTTAGCGCCGCAAGGCGATGCTTGCAATCTTTTTTTTTAGGTAAAGCAATTCTGTCTCACACGCCTAACCGCCTTCTAATTGCGATTTTTTAAAAGAAGCAAAGAGCGGCAAAATAAATAACCAACCAATCGCTAAATCGCGTTTTAAATACCTCGCCAGCAACAGTAACCTGCAACCGGCCAGCTTTGGATCAGTAATTGGCAATTGATTGCCCTGAGCATGCGCATTGATGGCCTTCCCCAATCCTTCCCTCGCTCTCACAGCGGCAGGCTTGCAAAACCGGGATTGCGCGGGTCCCTATTCCCGAAAGGCAGGGGGGCGGAAAGTAATCCGGATCCTAAACGAGTAAGATTTTTTTTTTCCCAACCTTATGTGCATCCCTGGTTTTCTGCAAAGGGGTGCCTGTGTTGCTTTTGTGCGGCTTGGTTATGCCGCAGATGTCACAGCTGAGGACGGTTTCGTGCCCGCAGGAGGTTTGCACGGATTGGTGGTGCTTTTCACCCGAGTTCGCCTTGCTTGGGTCTTTTTCCGCCCGTCGGAACTTCTCCGCGATCTGAACCACGTTGGCCAGCGGCCGGTTGGGGATGATGTTTTTCCCGTGGTCGAAGGTTTCTCGACAGTGGGGCAGGAGGCGCCGCCTTTCCCGGGTCCTTGGCAGCAGCTGCTCAGGCAGGTGCGGCAGAAATTGTGCCCGCACGTGGTTATGGTCACCGGGTCCTTGAAACACTCCAGGCAGATGGGACAAGTGACTTCGTCGCAGAGATCCCGCAAGGGAGTCCCAGCTGCTGCAGCAGCCATGACCGTCTCTGGCTGAAGGCTAAAACTCTCTCGGCTGCTTTCATTTTCCGACCCGGCCCTTCGGGAAAGGCCGCTTGCAGAACTCGAACGGGGCAAAACAAACGGTGGGTGGCTGTGCAGCTTGCGCAAACCAGGAAAAGCAATTTTAGAGGTCATCGCCACTCCCTGTTTACTCAGTATAGCAAGTTTGTTTATTTTTTTTTCGAGTCTTATCACCGGCTCAAGGTTGACTCGGTCTTCCATTCTTCCGAAGTCGGTAAAAAGGAGCATCCGGATGGTTGCGGGGGCAATAATGCTGACCGTAAACAGTTTAGAGAGGGCTGTAAAGCATTAGTTAATTAATAACTAAAATAGCACTAGTAGTACCGATACCACTTATGTCGTTCCAGTGGTTTACAGCCCTCACTAAGCGGTTTACAAACGACATATTAAGTCTTAAGTGCTATTTTAGTTATTAATTAAATTCCTGCGCCACCCATCGAAAGAGACTTGGGGGTGCAATAAAATAGGAATATGAAATAAGGGGTCCTTGGTGCTTTCTGAGCTTGTTTGTTTTCTTGCAGACGTTTCATTAGTGCAGGGGTTCTCAACCTTGGCAACTTTAAGACTTGTGGACTTCAACTCCCAGAATTCCTCAGCCAGCTTTGCTGGCTGAGGAATTCTGGGAGTTGAAGTCCACAAGTCTTAAAGTTGCCAAGGTTGAGAACCCCTGCATTAGTGGATTTTATTCCCAGCCCCTCCCATATCTCCATTTACAAGTAGTGTAAGGAAATTTTACAAACTCCAGAGCTTTACAAACTTAAGGGTTTTTGGACAAGTTGTTGGAAGCCTGGTTAGTGGTGCTGGGGGAGGGGGGGGCTCAAATACTTTCTTCAGAGTCACACATTGTCTTACTTTGGGCTCTAATTTTTGTGTTGAAGGAAAAGTCTTCATGATTCAGTCCAAGCTGGGAATAAACAACATGGTGACTGCTTTAGAAAGAAGGTTGCAATTTATTGAAGAGGAGAGCCAATAGGAATTGTCCAGGCTGTCTCTGCTCTGCTGAGCCCACCAAAGTCCCATTCTGCAAATGCTGCTGCAAGTTGTCTGCAGTGAAGGCAAGCTGTCTGGCAGTTTCCACCCCTCCCTGCTGAGCAACTACTAAAAATGTAAGTAAAAGAGGGCCAGGGGAGGGAGGTGGGAGGCCGGCTCTGTCTCTGCCGCTTGCCAGCTACGCCTTGGCCAGCGCAGGGAGCGGCACCACGCATGCGCAGTGTTCCCAGGCAGGGAAAGTCCTCGACTTACGACCGGTTGGGGGTCGTGGCATTAAAAAGGTTGAGAATCACTGCTCTGGAGCCTTTTGTTTGGAGTTGTTCCTGTGGCATGAACTTTGATCTGAGTCTGTCTTTCTGGTATTCTGATGGTGGTGGGTTAATCCTATTATGTCCCAAAGGTCATATCCTGCTTCCCTGGGGCTGGGGCTGATGACTCTTAGATTTTTGATGTGAGGGGTTGTTGATTCTAGTGTGGGAAGTTAGCGCCCCCCCCCCCAAGAAGGAAATATTAAAAGGGCAAAAAAATATATTTCCTCAAAGGATCTTAAAGAGGCAGAAAAGCATGCCCAGTTTTTTTAATATCCCCAAGTCTCCCTTCCCCCAAGCAGAAACCAGCTCTGTAGAAATTAGGAAGTAAACCATTGAGGAAGATTGAAGCTAGAAGATTAAGAAGACAAAGACACCTAAAATCTACATACCCCACCCAAACTCTAAGATAGGACATAGGATTAACCCACAGATGCCAAAGGGCACACCCAGACTCAGGTCAAAGTTGATGCCACAGGAACAATTCCAAACAAAAGGCTCCAGAGGGTATAAAAACCCATTCCCTACATGTGCTCTCTTTGTTTTCTTCCAGAGCCATCTTTCTGTCTGGCTCTCCTCTTCTATAAACTGCAACCTTCTTTCTAAAGCAGTGGCCATGTTGTTTATTCCCAGCTTGGACTGAACCATGATGTATAGGGGGGGAATTAATAATAACTTTTACACAAAAATGCATCTATGTGGTAGTTAGGAGTTTAAAACAACTTGATGGCACATAACTCATTATAGCAAAGAAGTGTCTATTCCAGTGTTGGAACGTTGGAAACTAAGATGTATGGACCAACTCCCAGAATTCCAGATGCTAGAATGATGGCTGGAGAATTAAGATTTTGTCTGTAGGGGTGTTGGATCCTTCTTTGTACTTGAAAAAAATTCTGAAATTGCTGTTCCAGTTTAGCTATGGGTTTTCATTGAGGTCTCCTCACATTCCTACTACAGGAACTGACTTATGATCACAACTGAGCCCAAAATTTCTGTTGATAATCAAGGCATTTGTTAAGTGAATTTTGCCCCATTTTACAGCCTTTCTTGCCACATTTGTTAAGTGAACCACTGCAGTTGTTAAGTTAGTAACATGGTTGTTAAGTGAATCTGGGTTCCCCATTGACTTTACTGATCGTAAGGTCGCAAAAGGCGATCACGTGACCCCGGGACACTGCAGCCATCATAAATGTGAGTCAGTTGCCAAGTGTCTGAATTTTGATCACGTGACCATATGGATGCCACAACAGTTGTAAGCATGAAAAAAGTCACTTTTTTCAGTGCCATTGTAAGTTTGAACGATCACTAAACGAACTAATGTATGTCGAGAGCTACCTGTATTCCGTGCCCTGCATGAACTGAGTTTTGTGGCCTGTCCTATTTATAATACAGGTAGTCCTCGATTTACAACAGTTCACTTAGTGACCATTCAAAGTTACAGTGGCACTGAAAAAAGAAATGTATGGCTGTTTTTCACACTTACGACTGTTGTACCATCTCCATGGTCATGTGATCAAAATTCAGACAATTGGTCCCTGACTCATATTTATGACAGTTGCAGTGTCCCAGGATCACGTGATCCCCTTTTGCGACCTTCTGACAAACAAAATCAATAGGGAAGCCAGAGTCACTTAGCAACTCCGCTACTAACTGAATAACAGAAGTGATTCACTTAACAACTGTGGCAAACAAGCTTGTAAAATGGGCCAAAACTCAACAAATGTCTCACTGAGTAACATAAATTTTGGGCTCAACTGCAATAGTAAGCTGAGGATTACCTGTATATTTTTTTTGTAATTGGCCTTAATTGCCAACTACAGAAGCACCAGGAAATCAAAAGCAGGAAATGAACCAAAAAACACACACCCAACATCAGGAAATGCATTACATTTAATTCGGCTTCATTTCAGATCAGGTAGGTGACTTCAATCTGACATTTTTCTGGTATGCAGTTATTGCATTTCCCAATGCTGACTGTTCTTCTAGGAATTCAGAATACAGGTAGTCCTCCATTTACAATAATTTGTTTAGTGACCGGCTGAAGTTACAGTGGCATTGAGAAAAGTGACCTATGACCATTTTTCACACTTAACACCGTTGCAGCATCCCCATGATCAAGTCATCAAAATTTGTATGCTTGGCAACTGGTTCATATTCGTGACAGTTGCAGTGTCCCTGGATCAGGTGATCTATCCCCTTTTGCAACTTTCTCACAAGTAAAGTCAATGAGGAAACCAGATTCACTTAATCTGGCTTCCCCATTGACTTTGCTTTCAGAAGATTGCATGATCTGGGGGGACACTGCAACAAATATGAGTCAGTTTTGATCACATGATCATGGGGATGTTTCAACATAAGTGTGATAAAAAGGGTCGTAGGTCACTTTTCTGTGCCATTGTAACTTTGAATGGTCACTAAATGAACTGTTGTAAGTCGAGGACTATCTATACTTATCTTGTCCTGCTTTGTGGTATGTACTCTCGATCTAAATAAGTTTCAAAGGGAAATTGTTGTGTGGTTTGTTTTTTTTTAAAGGATGTGTTGAAGTGAGAAGACTTCAGACTTAAATTGTTTGGACAAAAGGCAACTGAGAACCGAACATGACTGAAGTCCCAGGGAAGCTGACTGCAAGGCTTAGAAGAGGCAAAAAGGAAGTGCTTCTTCACACAATACATAACTGATCCGAGGAGTTCGTGTCCAAAGAGGTAATGATGGCCATTTAGTTGGGTAGCTAAATGCAACAAAGTTGGGTAGCTAAATGCAACAAAGAGCAACAAAGATGATTAGGGGACTGGAGGCTAAAACATAAGGAACAGTTGCTGGAATTGGGTATGTCATGTTTAATGAAGAGATGGACGAGGAAGGACATGATAGCAGTGTTCCAGTATCTCAGGGATTGCCACAAAGAAGAGGGAGTCAAGCGATTCTCCAAAGCACCTGAAGGCAGGACAAGAAGCAACGGATGGAAACTAATCAAGGAGAGAAGCAACCTAGAACTAAGGAGAAATTTCCTGACAGTTAGAACAATTAACCAGTGGAACAACCTGCCTCCAGAAGCGGTGAATGCTCCAACACTGGAAGTTTTTAAGAAGAGACTGGACAGCCATTTGTCTGAAATGGTATAGGGTTTCCTGCCTGAGCAGGGTGTTGGAGTAGATGACCTCCAAGGTCCCTTCCAACTTTTATTATTATTATTATTATCTTTAAAAAGAGACAGTGTGGGCCAGAGATAAAGGGGCTGGGCTGGGAGCAGGAAGACCTGGTTTTTACCCAAAGGTGCTTTTTTCATGAGGCAACTGGATTTCCTTGTTTTTCTTTGAAGACGTTTCACTTCTCACCCAAGAAGCTTCTTCAGCTCTGACTGGATCCTTCCCTTCCCCACCATCCAGTCAGAGCTGAAGAAGCTTCTTGGATGAGAAGCAAAATGTCTTCAAAGAAAAACAAGAAAGTCCAGTTGCCTCGTGAAAAAAGCACCTTTGGGACAACCATGACCTGGACATCTGAGAATCTCCATTAAACTCGGGTTTTAGTTGCTCCTCAGACCGGAAGACCACTTGGGTCAGCCCTAGAGTCAGCATAGGGTAGTGGCCCTAGACTAGGAGTGGGGAACCTTGGGTTTTAATCTCTCCATTGCTACCAAAGATCCCTTGTTATTTGGAGCCAGTTACAGGTAGTTCTCAACTTACAACAGTTCACTTAGTGACCTTCAAAGTTACAATGGCACTGGAAAAAAGTGACTTACGGCCATTTTTCACACTTAAATGACCATTGCAGCATTCCCAGGGTCACATGATTTACATTCAGATGCTTGACAGCTGACTTACCTTTATGACGGTTGCAAAGTCCCAGAGTCATGTGATCCCCTTTTGCAACCTTCTGACCAGCAAAGAGGAAACTAGATTCACTAGATTAACAACCGTGACCCTAACCCAGGGGTAGGCAACCTTGGCTCTTTTATGACTGGTGGACTTCAACTCCCAGAATTCCTGAGCCAGCCATGCTTAGGGGAAAGGGAGAAGTTTCCAAGCTGAGGAATTCTGGGAGTTGAAGTCCACGAGTCATAAAAGAGCCAAGGTTGCCTACCCCTGCCTTAACCGAACAACTGCAGTGATTCATTTCATATACGTGACAGGAAAGGTTGTAAAATGGGGCAAAACTCACTTAACACAGGTCTCACTTAGCAACAGAGATTTTGGGCTCAGTTATGGTTGTAAATGAAGGATGACCTGTACTAATAAATTACATAAGATAAGATGAAAAATAAAAATACTTACCTCATGCAAGCTGGGGAATTCTTGCAGTTGAAGTCCACACACTTTAAGGCATCAAGGTTGAAAAACGCTGTTGTAAGGCATACAAAGTCACAACACACATTGAAACTGTGTGGAACTTGCAACATGATTCCCCTTTTGACATTTGCCTCCTTGTGTCATCCCTTTGAGATATTCCTGAAGTAGACAAAAGCTATACATAGAGACTCTTTCATCTCACATTGGATTTTTTCATTTTTTTCATATCTCCTCAGGTATGCTTTCGTTCAGAAACTTTTCCCGCAGGCCGGATACATCTGTGTTTTCTTCCGTGTGGATTCTTTCGTGATTCATGAGGTTTTATCTTCGCCCAAAACGTTTCTCACAGAGGGAGCACGTGTGATTTCTCTCCCATGTGGCTTCTTTCATGGGGATGTGAAGCTCGCTTTTTTCTTGAACCTTTTCCCATAAACCCTGTGTGAATACAGTTTCTCCCCTATGTGGATTCTCCCAAATGTTCCTTTACGCAGACAGAGCACATGTACAGCTTTTCCTGAGTGGATTTTTTTGATGTTCGGTGTAACTTGTTCTGTGCTTGAAGTTCTTCCCACAGACCGAACAGGTGTAGTAGCCTTTTTCTCCAGTGTGAATTCTTTTATGGGATTCATTGCCAAACCTTTTTCCTGCAAACGGAGAACAAATATGAATTCTACCCCATGTGGGTTTTCATTTGTCTGAGAAGGTTAGCCTCATACCTGTAGTTTCTCCCACAGACTGAACGTGTATGCAGAATTTTTCCAGCATGGCCTCTTTCATAGTGAGTGAGGTTGAACCTTTACTTGAAACTTTTCTCACGGAACACACGTGGTTAATATTTTTCTTGTGTGTGACTGCTTTCCTGTGTTAGTTCTCCCACTCTACCTTTTTTCACATACAGAGCATTTATAGGGTGTCTCTCCTGTAAGTTTTCCCATGGATTCGAGACTTTTTATGACTAAGAAGATTGGATCCTTTGTTCAAGTATTTCCCACACAATGACCATGTATGTAATTTTTCTTCCTTATGGCCCCTCCTGTGGACAGCCAGGTGACTTTTCCAGCTATAACCGTTCCACAGACCAAGCATGTATATGGTTTTTCTCCTGTATGGTTTCCCTTATGTCTCGGAAGTTTTTATGACGGAAGCCTTTTCCATAAATCAACCATTTATAGGGCATTTCCCCCATATAAATTCTTCTGTGCTGGAGAAGACCCCCGAGGACGAGCTAAAACCTCTTCCCACAGGTGGGACAAGGGTACCTTCCTCTCCCAGATGAATTTGCTCATGTCTTAACCAGACATGCCTGTTACTGAAGCATTTTGTGCACATGGACCACCACAAATATGTTTTACTCCTCTGTGAGGGATCTTGTGTGCAGTAAAGCCCAGCACGCTAAGAAAAGCTTTCATTGCACAGGGAGCATTGATATGGTTTTTCTCCTGTATGTATTTCTTCATGAATGATGAGGGGTATTTTATGACTCAGTGTTTGTACCCCATACTGAACAAGCAGATTTCCTCTTCTCTCCCCCCCCCCCCCCCGGTCTCCTTTCATGGTTAATAAGATGGGATCCTTGATGGAACATTTTTCACAGGTTGAAAATGTATGTGGTCTCTTACCTCTGTATGGCTGGTTCCATGTTTAATGAGATGTGATTTTTGAAAGAATTCTTTTCCCACAAATAAAGCATGTGTAGACTTACTCTGTTGTATGAATTTTTTCCCATGGTTTATTAAATGGTATTTCAAACCAGTTGTCGTCTTGTCATCTCCAAATGGGGCTACAAATATTCAGACAGTGCAATTCTAAATCTGGTCACTAAGTGGCAGCAATATCTTAAAATTAAGATGTTACCTAGTTTGGAGAATTGAACACTTGATTTGGCCAAGTGTAATTAAAAGGCTTGAGAAATTTTTCTTCAGTGCATGCAAAGCAACAGAATAATAACACCAATAAGAGGGGGGGAGTAAGAAAGATAATAAAGATAAATAATATCTTTACTATATGGAATGAAATATCTGCAAGAAAATCACCAAGTTCAGCAGCGAAGACTGGTAGTCTTGTCCAAATTGCAGCAGCATCCTGACCATCATTTCTTCTTACATTCCCAAGACCTAGACTCAAAACCATATCTGAGAAAGGCACTACAGATAGTCCTCAATTTATGACTACAGTTGAGCCCCAAATTTCTGCTGTGAGACATTTGTTAAGTGAATTTTCTCCATTTTACAACTTTTCTTGCCACATTTGTTAAGTGAATCACTGCAGTTGTTAAGTTACTTACCCAGTGGGTAATTGAATCTTGTTCCCCCTTTGTCAGAAGGTCACAAAAGGGGATCGATCACATGACCTCAGGACACAGCAAGTCATAAATATGAACCGGTTGCCAAGTATCTGAATTTTGATCACATGATCATGGGGATGCTGCAAAGGTCGTAAGTGTGAAAAAATGGTCATAAGTCACCTTGATGCTGTGGTAACTTTGAACCGTCACTAAATGAACTGTTGTAAATCGGGGACTACCTGTATTTGGAGTCAGTTCCCCAATGCCATCCTACAACCTGCAAGGAAGAACAGCCTGATCAGACTGTTCTTGATATGGAGGACGGAAGTGTAAAATTGCTAGGCAATTGTGTTGCTCTAAAAGGAAGAATAGGCGAGCAGGTTTTGTTGCAAAAATACCTTGGTCATAGAAAAAAGCATGATAGACCACATTAATCCTGGGAAATTGTGAAGAAGCCTGCAACCGATTCTCAAAAACCTATTTTGACATTCCAATTTCATGAACTAGACCAGGGGTGGGGAACCTTGGCTTTTGTGACTTGTGGCCTTCAACTCCCAGAATTCCTGAGCCAGCATGGCTCATCTTGGAAACCTCCCTTTTCCCCTCAGCATGGCTGGCTCAGGAATTCTGGAAGTTGAAGTCCACAAGTTATAAAAGAGCCAAGGTTCCCCACCCCTGAATTAGACCCTTCACCTGATGGGTCAACTGCAGAGGCCATGTTTGAAACATCATATTTGAAGGCCCTGACAGTCTCCTCCCCTTTCATATATTCCTGTCTGGGAAACCTGACATTTAGATCATGTGACCTCGGGAATGCTACAATGATTGTTAGCATGAAAAACAGTCATAAGTCACCTTTTTAAGTGCCATTTGAAGGGCACTTAAAGTTATAAGGGGTTATACCTCTTTTAAATATTCCTTTAACAGACATATATATATATATATATATATATATATATATATATATATATATATAGATAGATATCTATTATATATATATATATATATACACATATATATTATATAAATGGAATGAATAAGCGCGTCACCAGGAGAGTGTAAAGTAAAATACTTTAATTAAAGTATTTTACTATATTAAAAGGTTGCCAAGCTTTCGTTGGGAAAACTCCCCAACCCGTTCGCTTGATAAAAGGGAAAGTAACATGATCGGGGAATCTGCCCAAATACCAACAGACTTTTGCTCACAGAAATGGGGGGGATTTAACTTAAATATTGACCTACGAGGGAAGATGAGCATGGAGGACACCATAATGGAGGATGATTCAAACGGAGATATGAACACAAGTGCTCGAGAGAATGATGGAAGAAATCTTTACTCTGATTCCCCCTCCCACCTATCAGCTGTTCAGCCAGGAATGCTGGTACAGTCTAGGAACCAAGCACAGACGTCTATGGAACCCGTTTAAACCACCTTGTTAGAAACGGTCTCTCAGCCCTGAAGATGTTGGGGAGTTTTCCCAACGAAAGCTTGGCAACCTTTTAATATAGTAAAATACTTTAATTAAAGTATTTTAACTTTAAACTCTCCTGGTGAACGCGCTTTATTCATTCCATTTATAATTATGCCCGGGAGTCGCATTTTCACCATCATTATTGAATATATATATAAAATCTGTTGGAGAAAGGCTATTGATGTCTCAAATGTTTCCTTTTTCACAATTTAGCATTTCTTGGTTTGAGGCACAACGTATAGTTTATTAGTGAAATAACAGTTCTGGAGAGGTTTCTAAAAACCTATGATTAAAATGAATGTAAAATTTGTGTATAGCTATAGAAGTGGAACAATGGGAATTCCAATGGAAAATCTATTGCATGTACTTCAAATTTCAAAAATCTACTTTGAGTGACTTGGTGTAAGACACTTTATTACTAGTATATTATTCCATTCTTGGTTGCCAAGATGAATATCTTTTTCTATAAAATGCTGCAAAGGCATTGAATAAATGGATCCTTCCTTATGTGCTGCAAAGCTCAACAATAATAGGAAAATAATTTATCATAGAGTGAAAGAAATGTTGAAAGTTTTAATTCCATTTGACCCTGATACACTTTTATTAAAACTTTACCAAAACATGTATTTCTTATTACTAAACTGAGATTGTGTATGTTAATAGCTGCAAGAATTCTATATCTGTGGTGGCGAACCTATGGCATGGGTGCCAGAGGTGGCATTCAGAGCCCTCTCTGTGGGCACGCGCACCGTCGCCCCAATCCTAGGCCTTCAGCTGGGTTTTATAAAACCTTTTCATTTTAGGCCTCCGCCGCCATGTAAAAAAAAAAAAAAGTTCAATCAGTCAATTTCAACTTCTCACGGGGCGGGGGAAAAAAGATCTTGCAAAGTTGGGATTAATTGAACTTTTTAGTCCCATCCAGTCTGCTGTTACCACCGTAGCCATGCCCACCCAATGGGCCACACCCACCCGGCACCCAATGATGCATAAGTGGGTTCTGGGTTGCAGTTTGGGCACTCGGTCTCTAAAAGGTTCTCCATCACTGTTCTATATGCTTCTAATCTATTAGAAAATATTTTGATCCTCTCTGTGGCCTTTCTTGAGTTACAGCAAGGAGCCAACAGGGGGCTTTAGAGTACAATTACCTAAAAAACCATCATGTTTTAATGACCAATGTGAAAGTCACCTTCCATATGATAGAGTCGATATAAGAAGTGCCTCCAACACAATCCCACACTGCAGTGTGGTGGTTATTTAGAACACCAGTTCCCCTTTACCTGTTTTCCTTTTCCTTTCAATGGGTCAGCCTCTTTCCCCCAATTTCTGCAATATGCCTTCCTTTGAAGCAGCTCCCTACTAATCAGGACTGCTAAGGAGGTCGACTCTACATTTTATTTATTTTATTTTCAAAATTTATAGGGTAGCCGCCCATCTTACCTCAAGGTAACTCTGGACAGATTTGAGAAGCTTGAAACAAGGAGGGATAGACTAAGTTGGGAGATCTACTTTGGTTTTCTTTTATTAGAAAAAGAAAATTGCAAAAGATTTACAAAGCGGGCTTAAATGAATTTCAAGTTTCAAGTCCCAGAACACTGTCCTTCCAATTCCTGGTTTGCTTTACTTCCTTCTGCCACTGCAGGGGCTGGCAGAACTTCAGCTGTGTATCTCTCCCTGCAGGGAGAACACGTCGTTCTACCTGTGCTACCTGAGCCCCAGCCGATGGCTTTGCGGCAGCCTTAACAGGCGTAGGATTTGTCTCCCATGTGCATCTTCTCGTGCCTGATGAGATGCGACTTCTGCCGGAAGGTTTTCCCGCAGACGCAGCAGGCGTAGGGCTTCTCTCCCGTGTGCGTTCGCTCGTGTTGGCTCAGGCTGGACTTGAAGCAGAAGCCTTTGCCGCACAAAGGGCACCTGTACGGTTTCTCGCCCGTGTGAATTCTTTGATGTTTGATAAGCTTAGAGCTCTCCTTGAAGGACTTCCCGCAGTCCGAGCAAATGTAGGGCTTCTCTTCCGAATGAGACCTCTTGTGTTTAATAAGGCTCGAACGGTTATTGAAACGTTTCCCGCAGACCAAACACTTAAACGGTTTCTCCCCGGTGTGGATGATTTTATGAGCCATCAGCCACGAGCTCTGGCTGAAGCACTTGCCGCAATCCGAACAGGCGTAAGGTTTCTCCCCCGTGTGGGTCCTCTCGTGCGCCAGGAGGTTGGCTTTGCGGTTGAAGCTCTTCCCGCAGTCCGAGCACTGATAGGGTTTCTCTCCCGTGTGAGTTCTCTCGTGCGTAATGATGTGGGAACTCTGGCTGAAGCTTTTCCCACACACCGAGCACTTGTAGGGTTTTTCTCCTGTGTGGGTCCTCTCGTGTTTGACCAGATAGGAGCGCTGCTTGAAACTTTCCCCACAGAATGAGCACTTGTAGGGCTTCTCTCTAACCATGGATTTCTGGTCGTTAAAGGAGTCTGGGATGCTGCTGGTACAGCCTGGGCCTTTTCCACAAAAGGAAGACGCTTCTACTGCTGCTTCTGAATGGCTCCCCTCCTCGACCATAGATATCCCAGGAAACTCATACATGTTCTCCTCCAGCAAATCCCCATTGAATTCCATATAGTCAGGCCGCACCATCCAGCAGGTCGCCACTTCGGGCTCCGTCACTTCCCCGTTGCCTGCAGGAATAATAATAATAAAAAAGCAGCCAATGAGATCACAAGAATACGAAAGATTCCATATCCCATTGGATTTGTCTGCTCAGTGGCTATTTCCACATGCAATACAAGTCAGTGAAGGAACCGGGGCGTTACGTGAAGCAGCTAATCCAGCAAGCACTAGAGCAGCAACTCTCAATCTTAGCAACTTTAAGATAGGTGGACTTCAACTCCCAGAATTCCCCAGCCAGCATGCCCAAAGGCTGCCCAATCCAAACGTAAGACACCCTTGAAAGGGTTGG